AGGACCGAAATATCAAATGAACAAAATTAAGTATAGCTGTCAACCTTTGAACAAAATTAAGAAGTCTGAAATACGAAAAATAGGCAGGTGCTGTGCGTTGCAGATAAAAATATGAGGGGTCGATGAAGAAAGCCATTCTTTTAAACGGGTTCGATGCAAGAAAAGGATTGGGAATCTCTGGTTTAGATGAATGACAGATTAAGAAGCATACTGATTTGTATTAATTATATAAGTAGATAGATCAAAAATGAAAAATGTAAAATAAAATCTATTAATTAAAGAAATCAGTAGTATTTAGATCCTTAATTTCGTTATATTTAAATTTTTAAATTAAGTGCACCTGCTGAGAACTGCCCAAACAGTGTAATCTTAGATTGTTTGGGCAGAGAAATGTAAAAGTGAATAATTTAACAGAAATCAAACCTAGTCATAATGAAACCTAGAAAAACGACAGAATATGTTTATTTTGACTATTGACCCTTATATCAGCAAGGATTTGAATTTACCAACTATTTTATTTCTCAGAAATTGTTAGAAAATCAAGAACCGAAAGAAATGTTCTCAGGATTCGTGTATAAGCCTAGAAAGATAGCTACTATTTTATATTTATTCATTAATTCAATGACAGAAAAAATTTGACCTTTATGAAAACCTATATGCAACGGCTACATTTACGTTAATTAGCATCTAACTTTTTTGCTGCACAAAAGGTCATCAGAAAATTCTTCGAGGCATAAATCAGGAACTTCAAGGTCAAAAGCACTCCCTATGTACAAATAAATGAACGCAGATTAGGAAAATATCTTTCAATTATAACACTGAAAAAGCTACCTGCTGGCGAGCATTTTTATATCGTATGACAGTGACTTCCTGGAGTTACTGACAAGATATGAATGAATTCAGAATTATCAAAAAGTAATCGGTTTGTAGCATTTATTTCACCAGTTTTGTGCCAAGTTTTGTAATTTCACTGCTTCGCAAAAGTGCAAGTTTCTGCATGTTCGATTTATTAGGATCAATTTACACCAAGAAACAATTATATATAGCAAATTTCCTTTACGATGCACACATATGTTAGAAAAATAAATGCAAATTTTTGCATAAATCTGTAATTTCCCGCAGGTTGTATGCTTATTACTATGTTTGTATAAGTTATACTTTTTACCAAGTACAATTTATTTGCCCATTATGTTAAAACAATACCCTTAATACAAACATAATCTATTTCTTACTAATTGTGAGGATTTAATTTTGTGCATGACTTCAATTAGTATTGTCGTTTACAAATGACGAAACAGATATATTTTTTTTAAGACTTTATTTTCATGCATCTCAAATCTCTTCTTAAAATAAAGAATGTCCTAAAAATCTTATTTTTCTTTTATCAGTTTCTTAAAAAAACGTTAACTGAAATATTTAACGAGCATTGATCTCGACAGATAACTGTCAAAGCCAGATCAAAGGTATTCAGGTGGTCTGCATAGGTACTATATTTAAACAAGGGGTTGCCAATTCAACTCATTAAAAACTTATTTCACTAAAGTCTTGAACTTTAAATTACCTATGTGATTTCCCTTAACAAGTCTTAGGCAAATACTCTTCGCTTCCTTTACCGTAATCCGTATCCAAATTATCCAAATCCTAAGGGAATTGTAGAGACATTAGGTTAATTGGAAAAGCCGGAGAGATGAAAAATAGCAAACGCCTTCGCCAGGAATCGAACCACGGACCTCTGGAATACCGGCCGCGTGCAGAACCACTGCACCACGAAGGCGCGATAGGAAGGCGGGAGATATACCTTATATACTGCCCCTTTTAAAGGGCGACTGGGGTTTTTAGGGGACCCAATCGCCAAATCCTGGGTGAGGACACTCATCCATCCAACACCCTTTTAGTTCGGACGCCACTGTAGAGACATTAGGTATATTTTTGAAAACAAGCAAGATGAAAAATAAGCAATCGCCTTCGCCGGGAATCGAACCACGAACCTCTGAAATACCGGCCCAGCGTGCAGAACCACTACACCGCGAAGGCACGCTAGGAAGGCGGGAGATATACCTTATAGACTTTAAATAAAAATGCGCATATTTTAGAATGTGCCAGCTAAAATATTACTGTTTTGTGCATGCTTATTTCTTTCTATATATTACTTGAAATTAAAAAAAAAAAAAAATCTGAAAGGTTTCAGATTTTAAATTACATTCAAAGGGGCGTTTTTTAAACATTTTGTCTGTTAACGTGATATTTACACGTTCTTCGCATTTAAACCATAAAATTCAGTTCAGTAGCAATGTTGCAAATAATTTTACAATGAGCACGTATTTAGAATTTCCGATAACACAGTTCCGCGCACTGAAGATAAAATCCCCCCCCCTCCCGTAGAATGGTGCCATTGTTCGCTTTTAAATCGTTGAGTTTGTTACTCAAAAATTCGTTAAAGTTTTACAAAATATGAAATCGATCATAAAACAAATTCCAAATTTCAAATTTGGTCTTCCACATGCCCATATTCGTAGAAGGATTACGTCATTCAAAATTGATGGCTCTATGTACCGTTATTTTATCACAATGCGAGAAATAGACATACATTTATGCAGATTTTTCATTATTTAATTTCTTCAAATTTAATGCAGGACTCTAACATTTGGTGGCAACAGTTTGAAAAGTGAAACGGACATTTTTAGTGAACCAAAGCAAAATCTCAAAACGAAAACAATAGTCCTTCAGGGACAAAGTCCCTTTGGACTAAAAAAGAGGCGAATAACTGACAATTTTCTGGTTTTGCTACATGGCAGAGCGCCGCCAACGCCCTTTGAAAGGGATACGAATTTATCTTCAATCGGCCTTGACTCGTTTTGACCTTAATACACTTTCATTTGCTTTCTTATCATAATCAACCACAGCTTTATCACCTTTTTATGTTGACATAGTTCCAAAATTTGCACAGTATTGCCCGCGTAGTGCACTAGCTATTAAAGGGAGATATCTTACAGAATTACGTTACAATGGGTAGTCATCATAGAGGAACGCGATATAAAGATGACGGTAATTTTTATGAGAATCAGGTTATATCTGATGAGAAAAATTTACAAGATCACACTTGAGCCCGTTCTCGTATATGCATTGCCATCCTGGGTCACTGCTAGGAGCAAGAATATTCATGTTTCAGATCACTCAGAACAAGATTTTCGATATTAGGACAGCTCCACCATATTTCATTCAAATTGTATATTTCATCGGTACTTAAAAATTCTGCTCAATAAGAATTATTTCCATAACTCAAAATACAGCTTGTTCAAGAAGGCCAAGAAGAGCTCAAATCTGAGTTATGAAGATCACCCCCCTCCCCTCCTTGGTCACAACAGTTTCATTCTATGACATTTCCCTTCTATCTGACATCTTGAAAGTATCTTGTACATTGCTTTTCTCATTTGCATAATTAATGCATATAATCTTTTGATTTTTTGCATTTATTCTGTTCTCCCAAGATGTATTTTATATTCTTTCTGTTCTATACTTCTGGAAAGTATTTTACATTTTTTGTAGTATCTCTTCTAGTATCTGCATTTATTCCATCTTATAGATTCCTGATCCCGTTACCTGATATGTAGCTGGATATTATCTCTCAATATGACTTTGGACTCTTAATGTGCCTCCTAATGGTTCATACCTTGATGATTGCTCATATGATGTGACGTTCAAATAGTGCTTTTTTCACATCATGCATAAACATACAGCGTTGGGGCCCAAGAAGTGTGATGCATCCTGGTATTCTGTTAGAGGGTAAGTTTCTGATTGTGATCAGATCTCGCTGTGATGTTCCCCCGTTATTTGTGCCAGTCCATCTCTGTTAATTCTTCTATTTTAGTTTACTTTTTTGATTAATTTAATGGCAGGAATCACACCATGTTTAGTCAAGTCATTTCTCTTGTATTTCACTAGTGACAACTTTACGCCCTACAAAATTATGAGATTTCTTACCTTGGCTTCAGCTGGGTAACTCTTGGAAAGGGAGTGCACCACTATGCCAGTTGCGTTCCTTTACTTCTGGGTGTTCAACTTCATTTTCTGCAAAATTCAATCCTGGGTTAGAATTCCGATTTTAACGGCTCTTTCCATTGTTGAAGAGTAAAGATTTATTAAGGTACATTATAGAGAAAATTCAAAAGTTTTGTCAAGAACTATTTATTAATCTACGTTTATTGTTTAAGTATAAAATAACATTCAAAACACCACGCATAAAAGGCATTTTTCTGACGCAGAAAGATGGCCTCCTTGCCTTCAGCATTGTCATATAATTAGAACAAAATTATTCAATTATTGGAGCACTAGTGATTCAGACAGTTTGTTAAACAGAAAAATAATCGATACAGTACAAAGGGTTACAGTTATCTGAAACTTGCAATCACTCGCTCCGGCAACGATGATTAATTAAACCTGTTAAAGACTTCTAACGAAAAGAAGAGATCTTCTTAGTAAGGCATTTGTTATTGTAGAAATAGCCTTTCGACTAAAGACAATTAAATATAGAAAAAGAATGGAAATTATTGTAATAAAAGCCAATTAAATTTGCTAAAGAGTCACGATAAAGTAATCGATTAGGTTAAGGGAGAATGTACTAATAATATTTTATTTCTAAATTTGAAGTGAATTGATATTTAAGCTTAGAATTACTTAAGATATACAAAATGAGTTATACAAGTATTCTTCAGAGCTTATTTTCATGTTTCTCTTCCTTTTTTTTTAAACCTTAAATTATACATATGCCTTTCACAATTTATCACTTTGCATAGCAATGAAACACTCACAGTGCAACGATGCCTAAGTTTTCGTGGTATTCAAACAAAAGATGCAACGAATACTCTTAAAAAAAGAGGAAACATCTCCATGCTTTGGATTTGATCCAACTCAAAACTTCCTCCGCAAGGTCATGCATTACATAGCATAATAAAGAGTGGCTCTGAAATGTGTCTGTATAGGTTTTCAACTCGGAAGTTATCCTCTGTTAGGACAGCTGTTAAGATGAACTGACAAACAGTGACAAATGCTGTCAACTGGTGGTGTTACTTTTCCTTGAATAGACGAACAGAACACAGTTTTCTCAGACAAGAAATATTTATGTTTTACGTAAATTTAACCATTTGATGAAAATTATATGCTGCTGTTTTCTCTTGAATTCCTTGTGAATGTTCTCATCCAAAAAAGATTCCTTCTTCCCGAGAAAGGATAATAAAATCCGAAGTAATTTTATTTATTTATTTATGTTATTTTAATATTTTTTTTAAAATTCTACAGTGCATTACTTACGTGCGTATGTGAATCATTGCCCTCGAAATCGATAGCGTTTTATTTAAAATTCTACTCAAAAATAAGGTTTTTCTTTTGCCTAATTTTAAATGTGTGAAACAGCTGAAATCTTAATTTGCGTTAAATTTACGATGAAACATTTTGTATTTATTTCGCGTTGCTCAGTTTCCATCAATCCTTCTCACCATTTAAATTTTTAGCTATTTTATTTTCATTTGTTTAACTTTTATAGTCTTAAATATTTCTTAAAAGAACAGAGTTGCAAAGTAAAATCATGCAGCGTAAGATTAAGCGTAGGTTAGATTAAAGTTTTAAACGTAAGTCTAAATTAGTTTACAGTATTAAGGCTTATATTTGATTAAGCAATTGTTAAATTAGTTCAAAGTAATTTCGAAAGCATATTAATACACATGTGCAAGTTTGTAAATTATTCAATAATAATGGTAACTTAATTTTTTGCTCAACTTGACAATAATAATGAAACATAATTGGAATTTCTTAATTAATTTACATAAAAAGAGATAAGATCAGTGTTTAAATTCAATCTGAGAGCAAATGTCTATCGCATTAGATTCTCAGAGGTGAGTAAAAGCAAGAATTTTGCAAACTTATAGCGTCTGACTTGCTTTGGGCGCTTGAACTAGTTTCAAACTCCTAGTAGACGTAGAGCGAATTATCACTGCGTCTGAAGTAACTACAAAGACTTGAAAAGGTTTAAACAAATCTAAAACAAATTTTACTTTCAATTTATTATAAAAGACCTTTGAATATAAATGTCCTTCTAGTGCTAACAAAATCAGCCACCGATGTAACTAAAATAACAGCCAAATTCAAAATTTAAAACGTAGACAAGTAGTCAAAGACTACACAATTAAATTTAAATTTAAGTTCACTCAAAACTCTAACCTGTGTAACAATTCACACAAGTCAGCAGCAATAAAGCAAAGCCGAGTAATTAAAAACTTATCGAAGCTGGCAAAACTAATTAACGTAGCCACAAGAGGTGGAAAAACGCTTTGTCTAACAATCCAGGAACCTCAGCTTAAATAGTACTATCTAACTGAATTGCATTCTAATGAGGAAACGAAAAGAAGTTATAGTGAAGGCTGAAATTGTTACTAATTGATTAGTTTCAAATAATAATCTTAGAAAGCGGCGGTTCTAGTACGCGTACCATTGGTGGTACGCAACAGAAAAATAGGTGGGCTTCGCTGGCAAGGGAACAAAGTATTTTTAACTATTAAATTAAAAAATTAAATACCCAACATCCTATTTTAAGTTTTTTCTCTAACACTCGTAAATTGTGCTATCTGAGCTTCGTTCAAGGTCAATAGCAGCTCATAGACTTTAGCGGAATATCCGTTTTAATTTTCAGAAATGTTCTTTTAGCGGGTGTACTCCAACTGCGCTAATGAAATCCCTCCCCTCGTACTGGTATAATCCAACTGCGCCAATCAAAATTTCTTCCCCTCTTTGCCTACAGGATTACAGTTTTACTTTTCGAAGCCAGCTGTAGCCAAGAGGAAAATAAAAATAAAGAAATACAATTACATATCACAATGACAAACCTTTTCCATTAGGTTAATTGGAATTCTTTACTTGCTTTTCAGTAACATTTCCGAGATGCATTTCTTCACGACTTCTGTAATTTTTACTTTAAAAACTATGTAATCTGCGAAGAAAAAATAAATACTGAGAACTTATATTTTCGACAAATATTCGTTGCTAACGGCGAGCTCTAGCTGTGTGTTTTCGTCATTACATAAGTAAGATAAGGAATATATAAGGTAAAAGTTTAATTTGCTTGTTTCCACTTTCTACCTTAAAAGCAGTGATATGCTTGTAGAGACATTAGGTATTTTTGTAGAAGCAGACAGGATGAAAAATATCCAAGGCCTTCGCTGGGAATAGAACCACGGGCCTCTCAATTACGTGCTGTGCTGACCACTACACCACGAAGGCACGCTAGAAAAGCGAGAAAAATACCTTATATACTTCCCTTTTTAAAGGGCGACTGGGGATTTTAGGGGACCCAATCGTCAAATCCCGGGTATGCAGAATCCTCATCCAACACCCTTTTAGTTTGGGCGCCACTATAGAGACATTAGATATATATATATATATATATTTTTTTTTTTTTTTTTTTTTTTAAGCAGACAAGATGAAAAATATGCATGGCCTTCGCCGAGAATCGAACCGCGGGCCTCTCAATTACGCGCTTAGCGTGCTGACCACTACACCATGCAGGCACGCTAGGAAAGGGAGAGAAATACCTTATATGCTCATAATAAATCTTTCTGAAATTGTAGCATTTCAAAATTATTTCCTGTGATATGAATCTCATAGTACAACGCTAATCGCACACGCCGTTACTTACATAACGGCGAAACTGAAAGCAAAATATTTTATCCAGTTGTAATCAAACCAAATTTTTTTCTTAACCAGTAGTAATAAAAAGGTACTCTGTCCTTCTGCTGAGAAATATTGTAACTTCATCATCTTTATAAAACCCGAAATATAAATTTCTCTCTTCTGGTACATGCTTCTTCTGGTCTTAATAACATTTAACATGCAAAATTGTAAATATTGTCAAATTTTCTAAGTAAGAAGCGTGAAAAATCAGCTATATCCTTGCCGGAATTCAAACTAAGGATCTTCCGACTGCTGGCCGGACATGCTGTCATTTACACCGAGAGCATGCACGGGACAATGCTACAATTCCATGTATTCTTTCCCACTCAAAGAACGAATATTAAGAGAGAGAGACTCTGTCAACCCAATTTAAGTGTTGATGAAGTCCGCCGCGTTTCAGTTTAGGCATCTCTTGTAGAGACATTAATTGCGGAGGAGGAAGCTTGAAAAGCGAATTATACCCTTCCCAGGGGTTCGAGCCACGGATCTTCCGATGCTAGATGGACTTGTTACCATTTACACCATGAGATTAAAAATAGGGAATGCAATAATTCTTTGTGACATATTTTTCTATACCTAACTGTAATGTTGCAATGAGCGAAACATATATGTGAAGCTGTTAAACATCTGCATTTATGCTGCTTGATTGTGCTCATTATTTAACAAAATTATGCTTAAATAAAGACAATTACTAGTCATTCACAATTATCTTGAAGAAATACCACACCAAATACTGTCATAAAGAGATTTAAAAGGAAGAGATGGTACGATTCTAGCTAACCTCGTACAAATTTTCCGACTTCGATGCTAGGTGCATTTTTCTAAATATGCAAATAATTTACATTTTCTTTACATATTTGAGGTGAGAATCTAAGGGAAGAAGGGAAAAAAAAAGCATAAAATGAAAGCTGGACTCTTTGCAGACTGTATATATAAAGTTAAGCGGTGTCATTTCTCGCAAATATTACCAACAGTATCTGCTACATATTACTTCGCTCCACCAGTGGCCGAGTGTTTAAGACCTCTAAATACTAGGAGCTCAATCTGGGTTCGATCCCAGGCAAATGGGCTGGCTGCATGATTGTTTTTCGTGATTTTACCCATGTATAACGTGAATACCAGACAGTCTTTCTTAGAAAGTCCTCCACGAAGACATCCTTCCTTTTTAGGCCGATGAACCTCGTGTACTTTGTCATATTTAAATAACCTAAGCTAAATTATTGAAAGTTCCTGGAAGCCACGCAGTAGAAACTGAATGATTAATATCAGAATTAGTTAAGTCATCATTACTCTTTTTTTCCAAAATTTTTAACCTAGGGTTACCATATTTTAGGTGAGGTCAAGACATTTTATGAAAAACTGAAAATTTATTTTTAGTGATTAGAAAGCTGTCAATCTTTAAGTTATTGCGACAAAACGAAACTGTAGTGTAAAGAAATAAAAGTATATAAAAAAACAAAGCGTTTAATCAACAAAAATACTCATTATGATGAATCGAGAAAGTAGACGGCATTCTTCAATAGGTCTATTCTGGAAATGTAAATGATGCAAATGTATATAAACGAGTGAAATCTCAAAAATTATCTGATTCCCTGATTTTCTATTGAAATACCTTCCAGGAAATATATTCCTGATATATTCGAAAAAAAATACTATTAAAATTTCCTCTCTTTTTCTCATAATTTCTTCTCCCGATTTTATAACCAGTCATTTCAAAATCCCGAACTTGTCTCTTCCTCAGGACACGATCCGGAGATAATTAGGAATTGAGGATTTTCGGGCCAATCTTGGACGTCTGGTTATCCTACGATGCCTAAGACTGCTGCTTCTTTGAAGTAAAAGAAATTAGATGTAATATATTTGAAATATAAGAAAATAAATATTCCCACATAAATTACCAGATGTTTCTGCTTTGGAATGCTCTTCAGGGAAGCGTATCAGCTGTGAAATCTTACCGTGTGAAAGTTATGATGACGTGTGAAAGCTGTGAAATCTTACCGTGTGAAAGTTCTTGCGTCTTATTAAGAGTCGGAGAGACCTCAGAGAATACGTAGAATGTTGCTACACATCTGGCGTATTTTGGCATCCGCTGTTTACTAATGGCGTTTAACTTTTGTTAACAATATTTTCTTCAGTGCTTCCTTTTTGCGATGACTTTTTAGTATCGTCATGGCAACAAAGAAAAGAGACTGAATACCATGCACCCAGTACCTCGCTTTAAGAGCTCCCACTTACGGAACTTCCGAAATTGTCTTTTAAAAACAATTAAAAACATTTTGTTTTTTGAAAAATTAACACTTAACTAAATTTTCTCACGTAGCTCAAATTTATCGATTAGAAAAATAACGTACCTGACAGCAATGCCAATTGGGAAATAAAATTTTAATTAATAATTATACTTTACTTTAAGTATTACTATTTGAAACGAATTCATTCTAAAGCTGCATATAGTAATACCGTAAGCTGTATGCACTGAGTATACTATGAGTATTTCTATATAGTTATAAGGTATTTCTCCCACT